TTGACCAATCCCAACCCTCAGTGCTGAGCTCAAGGACACTAAAGGATGGTATCTCAGCAAGGGGATGAGAAGAGTAAGAAAGAAGGTGAGGATGGAACAGCTCAACCAGGAACAGAGTCATGTTTATGGCATCCATGCAGCCAGAGGGTCTAATGGAGAAGACACTTGTGTCACTTTGTGAAAAACGTTACGCTCCAGCAGGAGCAAGAGGAACAAGGCCTTGCTAAGGAGGTTAAAGGAGGAGTAACAGTTGGAATCCTTACTCTAGGGTGGCTAGCAAGGAACTAAATGGAACTTGGCATGACCGCACAACAAATGCTGTATATAAAAATCTACCCGTCCTTAACCCCAAAGCTACTAGAAGTCTTGGCAAAAATCGTGGCCATAAAACAAGAGCATCTCTCTCCTCCCAACCAACAGGGGTGTGTGTGCGTGTGTATGTGTGTGTGTGTGTGTAGAGTTATTTTTTGGTTTCGATAACAAAAAGAAGGCATGCTGAGCCCTCTATGCTCCCAGGGTAAAGCAGGGTATCCCTTTCTTGTGAAGCTTCGAGGGACCAAGGAATGGAACAAGGAAGGAATTGCGAGCCGTGCAGTACAGCTGCTCTGTAAGGACTGCGCAGCTCTTTCCACCTCCTAGCTGCTTCGAGAACTGAAACCGCAGAGAGGAAACTCAATTATAATACTCGAGTCTGGGTAAAGTCTTTAACTGTTTTCTCCACTCACTCCTGTAACAGTGTTCTCCCTGACAGCACGGCTCATTTTGCAAAATATCTTTGGATACAGCAGAGCATAGGGAGAGAAAACACAATGAAGCCATACATTTGTTGAAGCTCCTTTGTCCTGCAACATTTGCTCTGAGCCAGGGAAGATGAAGAATTTGTCAACAGCCATGGAAAAAAAGAACCACAGCCATGAAATTAATTTTGGTTCCAAAATATTTCTATCCTTGGAAAGAACCTGACCATTTTACATGGAATGGGTACACAACTGACATTATTTAAATGAATGAATGAATGAATGAATGAATAGAACACTAAAACTGATAAGGCATTGGAACGCACTACCATGGCAGAGCCTTTCAGTTTCCACGTCTGGATGTTTCCAAAATAGCCTTGTTTCTTAGTCTGGGTTCCCTGGAACCAGATATTGAGGCTGTGGGATTTCTGTGCAGGAGGTTTCTGGAGAGTCATCTGTAAGGGACGGAAAGGAGCGGTACCGCACAGAGGAGGAGTTGAACTACTGTGCAGCTTGCAAGAAAGGACTCGGCTGATCCCTCAGGAGCTGTAAACCCGGGTGGGCTGCCAGGACTGTCTCAAACTGAGGCAAAGTGGCCAGGCCGTTGGACCCCTGCATCAATCAGTCATAGGATGCTGGCTGCTCAGGATGAAGCAGTTCTTCTCAGTGGAGGGGACCTCCCTGGAGGGAGGGACTGGGGGTGATCCCTCAGCAGCTAGTGCTCCAGGAACAAAGGGTGAGCACCTCAGTGCTTTAGGGGGTTGGGGAGGTGTAGCAGAGCATCCACTTCATGTCCCTTTCTCCTTATCACTCCCACTCCACAGGAGTATTCATCTTTGCCAAGACAGGTAAAAATAACGTTTGCTGTATTTACTCTTTCTGGCTGGACAGGGGAGAGAGAGAGGCTTCCTCTCCGCCACGTGTTCAAATTTTCTGAGACAAGCAAAGCCTCTGTTCCAGAGACTTGATTCACAATCAATCATTTGGATTTGCGCTGTGAGTCAGGGAAAAATATCTTCATTAAAAGAGGCTTTTTTCGTTAGCAGAAGTAAGCTAGCACCACGGTGGATATTTAAGTAAAGACGATCAGTGGAGAAGAGGAGTAAAGACGGAAGCTTGAGGTCGTCCGGCCGATGTCTCAGTCTTTCCTGCACTAGACTTGCCAGTCATTCAGCCTCTTCTGACCTTTGACTTCCAGACAAGGAAGTCTGTTCTGCTGTTAGGAAACCACGATTGTGAAAATATTTAAACTTGTACCAAGCACAACTCTATCCCCTTGTTATGGGCTGTCCTTCTGCATTTCAGAGTTACACAGAAAAAGTTTATTACATTTTCCACCTGAGAGCCCTTCAATATCTCTCAGGAGGAGCCATGTCCTCCCTTTACTCAAACCATGTTAATTGCCTCAGTCATCCCTTAGACAGCACACTTTATAAACCTCTAATCACACCGGTCCCTTTCTTCTGAACACGATCTCTGTCAAAATCCCTTTTTCAAAGGCATTTGCTCAGAACTGGACATGAATGAAGTTGGCAGGTACACGGCAAGCTGTCATGACAGGTCTTTGCTGTTAACATTCCTTCAGTTCTTAAGAAACTAGTTCATCCCCTGGTATGTACAGAAATTTGCAAGGTTTTCAGATCTATCATCAAGGCTAATGATAAGTGGTCTGGAGAAAGTCCAAAAGACTCATTCCCAAGAACGGGGAGAAGATTTGGGGCTTTACAGTCTCATTTGTAACTGGCCAGGAGACACGTAAGTTATTTAAAAAAAAAAAAAAAAGCTGATAAATTCAAAACATCAGAATGAGTCTACAAATTGTTTTATTTAAATAATGAATTCATACATTTTTGTAAAATGGGAAGTCTTTTCATCTCTTTTTTTCTTTTATTTCTTTTTATACTCCCAATTTGTAACTATAATGATCAAATGATTTATGAGCACCTACTATGTATGGAGGAGTGGGAAGAGACAGCGAGTGAGCGAAAGAGAGAGAGAGAGAAAGAGAGAAGGGATGGAGAGCATCTGATCTAAGAGAAATATGTAGCTCAGATCCAAGAGAAAGATGTAATATGTCACCCAGTGCTGGTGTGAGTGATATGGCCAGAGCTTCTAAGGAAAAGGTTGTTTTCTGGTTCCGTGAATAGCTTCCTTTTTTTTTGACAAGCCCCTTTCTCTTCCAACAACCCAACTTTCATCCCCTCTCCTTCCACAAAATGAGACCGAGATTGCCTCAGAAGAACAAAGCTCCGGTGTCACTATGGGGGTGGGGGGGACTGAGGGGATGTCACTAAATGACTAGTAAGTGTCATGTTCCTCTCCTTCATACAAAGAACAGTCTCCAGATTTATTACAAATATTAAAGGTTATTTTATGTACGATCTCACACATATAAGTTGACACATGTAGATACACGTGTGTGTACGTATTTGAAAATGCACAAAATATCTCTGGAAACTACATTCAATAATTAAAAGGGAGATGGTCTGAGAGAAAGACAAATGGGATGGTGTTTAGGCCTAGGGCGTGGAGACACATGGACTCTTTGTGCCACAAGCATGCATTAGTCATATAAAGGGGTAAGAAAGCTTTTTTTAAAAGGCAACCTTACCAGACGGCCACACAGACTTCGTGTGGCTTTTCACAGATGGACGTGATACTGCAGTTGCTCTTGCAGAGTTTCTGGTTGTCACAGGTGGAAGATCTTACATCACAAAATTTACACAACTGTGGAAATTTGACAGCACCATTGCTGTCATTGACCATCATGTCATTATTAACTGTGGAGAGAAAAGAAACATTCAATGATTATCTAACTGCTTGGCAGCCTGCCGATGAATTCCTGAATTTCAAATGAACTTGATGTCATAAGAATGAATACGGAGAAAGGCAAAATAATGCTTTCACATCAGATGACATGCAATTTGTAATGAAAGCCATTGCAGGTGGGGGGAAGTTTGAGAAACTTCTTGCTTTTGTCAGTGATTTCAGGTGGACAGAGAGGTCACAAGGGAACAGAGTTGTGAAGTGCAAAAGGGAGTTGGCCAACTAAGAGGAGATACTACAGGTAAGGCAGGACTTGGCCATCTTCTTCCGGACCTATACCCTAAAGAGCTATAGGGCCTTCATTACAAGGGACTGGCTCTGAATTCTGTTGCCTTGAGAGAAATCAGCTGATTTGGCAGCACAGAACGAGGCACTAGAGTCCTGCAGGTGAGAAAAGGCCGAGTTCCACCTCAAAGGTCTGTCACCTGCTCCCCCTCTGATTTACTCTTTACACATGGGCTTTTCCTGGAGGAAGCTAAGTTCCTTCATCCCTCAGGCCTTTCCTTTACTATTCTCTTTGTCTGGCTTCTTGTCCCTTTCTGGTGTTTGGTTACATGTCAGCCCTTCATCCCAAAGCAGCCCAGAGGTAACTACGACAGGACACTCTTCTGCACAAACCAACTTGATCACTTAACTTGCTTATAATCTATCTACCAAAATGTGAGCTCTGTGAGACTTATTTGCCATGTTTATGTACTGTATCTCCAGTGCCAACAAGAGGGCCTGCCACATAGAGGATATCCAAAATATTTGTGGAATAAATGAGTAAAGAGATGAGTACAAAAGAAGAATGAATATACGAATTTCACATTTGGCCCTTTATACCAAGTGGGAAAAGATACAGGACTTCTTCCCCTATGTTGGGGGGAACTGTGATTATAAATGCAATATCCATTCACATCCATCAATATTGAAGACAGACTGTTCTTTGCAATGCACATACTGCATGCTAAAAGGCAATAAAAAAAGGTATAAACCTTGCCCCCGTCTTTTTCTTCAAAGAGATCCATAATTGGCAATAGGCATGCATTTAGAGAGCCAAGTGAGACAAGGCTATAAGGCATTTGGTCGACAAACATGAATTTAAAGACACATACACGCTAGGCTAAGAAAGATTAAGCAGCCAGACCACATGTGGCACTAGAGTCGTCCTTGGCCGTTAGGAAGTTGGGAAGTATGTGTGTCCCCCAGGGATGGTGCTTGGACAGGCCTGAGCACAGCCTCCTCACATCCTCCTGGAGTTAAGTATGCTCCTGCCTGAAGCCAGAGGAACAGTTTCGACGCCCTCCCACAGTCACTTCTCCTTGTCTGTGAATTTCAGATTTCTGTCCTTGATACTATGCCATGTAACCCTCTTTGTTGCTTAGGCAGAGCACCTGTTTCCTGGGTCTCTAAAAATATAAACATATATAAATTCAAGATTTGCTTTCTTGTGGTAACATTAAAATAGAAAAAAAAAATAAACCCATTCATCCCTCTCAGGCCTCAAGTTCATTTCAGGAAGTGTATTTTTAGGTAACAAGCTATTTTGAAATTCAAAATGTCTCTGAGAGCTAGAGCTCTATGCTTAGCTAAAAATATAGGCAGATCTGAACCTTGCGTTAAATTTGGGACAAACGCAACAATGAATGTATATTTTTTTCTACAATGGTTAGATTCGGATTCATTTGAGAAACAACTAATTTAATCCTTAGGATTCTCTATAAGACATGGAGAAAGAAAAAAAGCTAGGCCACGTTTTGTTTATTTGATTATATTTTTTAGACTATGTTTCAGACAGACATCTATTTGCTTGTTAGAAAGCTTTGTTGTTTTTAATATAAAATCAAGCCTTCATAACTTGGAATTCAGCCTTCTAGCATGTTAGGATTTTAGCCTAGATTAGTGGCTATCAACTTTGGGGCATGTTAGAATCCAATCGCCTAGGGAACTTTAAAAAATAATGAAGCAGTCCCACCCCAGATATGCTGATTTAATTATTCTGGAAGGTCACCTTGGCATCAGGAAGTTTAGAAGCTGCCCAGATGATTCTGGTGAGCAACCAAGACTGAGACCCCTGACCTAGAATTAGCTGAAAAATAACATGATGGGCACAAAGCAGCAAACAACAACAAACCCTTCCCTCACCACACACATATACAAACTATGTGACAGTGACGGAGGAGCTCACCATTAAAGCTGGAAGAAGTTTCCTTGTGAAAAACATGCACCTGAAGCTATAAGATTAGCACTTTCACACCTCAGAAGAAAAGGAGTCCTTTTCTGGTCTAGCCAATCTTTTTCTAACAAAAGCTAAGAAAAGTGTGAAAAGTGACAGGAGCTAGGAATGACAGAAGAAATAAAAACAGATGTGACTGGTGCTGGAAGTAGCACTGGCAGCCACAGATGTGTTGACAAGTATAAGGGATTTGGATTTGATGCCTGCAAAACACAATCAATAGTAAAGAGACAAAAAAGAAAAAGAAAAATTACAGGCCATAAAAGCTAGAGGAGAGAGAGAGAGAGAGAGAGAGAATATAAAGAAGAGGCACCAAGTCGTACAGCTCAGGGGACACCACTCAGATTGCAATCTGTGCAAACAGGGACCCTGGAGATATGCAGGTGTGCAATTCATGGTGCCTTATGGTAAGGCCCAGAAAGAGAAGATCTCTCCATTGAATGTTTTGGGAAAAAAACAAACAGCCAACTTTACTCCATACTTGGAGATACAGGTATATGGGGTCAGGGGACAATGAACAATGGGAATTTGTACATATTAAGCCCCTACATGTGCTAGTTAAGGTGTGTAAGTTATCAAACATCACCTGGTAGATACTCAGCAAGGAGACCTCATTTTTCTCTTTCTTACAGTAAAAGCTACCCCTGCTAAGGTGAGCAGACTTTTTATCTCGATCAGCTTTTTTATTTTTTATTTTTTATTTGAAAGCCCTTATGCAAGGCATATGCACTACAACTTCTGCCCCGTCCCCGGCCAGCCACTCACTATTAGTCGTTGTCAGGAGGCTCTCACCCTAACACTTCCAGCCCGTCGATAAATGTCGAGCCTTTGCTTTAAGCCAGTATTCTCCTTTGGGACTAAGTGTGTTGGTGGGATAGAGTTCAGTGTAGAAGGCAAAGCTACTCCTAACCTCTGTTGGAGGTCACTTAATTTTGATAAAAGCTTTATGAACTCACTCTGGGGTGAGGGGTAGAGAGATATCCACACAAACTTTTGCTCATCATTTCCTGGGAGTGGTTCACAGATTTCCTGGAAGTCCATAGGCCCCAGCTGAGGACTCCTAGGCCTCCCTTAGAGTCCTAGAGGGTGATAACATGCTAAGCAGCACACTGCTAATCAGAGTGGGGTGGAGGGCTAGTGGGGGCAGGGAATGGTGATGATCACCCTCACCATCGTATGCATGATTGCAGCTATGCATTCCAACCCACAGGGAAGAAAGTTGCTGTCCTGACCTTACCTATCAAACATCTTACGTTTAATACCTAATGTTTGTGAAGTCAAAGGGATGTAAGATAAATGCATAGAGTTGGCCCTCTGCATCCACGGATTCCATATCTGTGGATTCGACCAATCTCAGATTGAAAATATTTGGAAAAAAACGTGATGTTGCTGACGTGTACTCTGTAGTTAGGCCTACTATGGCTGCATCTGCGCTGAACACATATAGACTTTTTTTCTTGTCATTATTCCCTAAACGGTACAGTATAATGACTATGTACATAGCATCTACATTGTATTAGATATTACAAATAATTAGAGATGATATAAAGCAGGAGTCCTTAACCCCCAGGCCTTAGACAGGTACTGGTCCACCCAAGTGCTAGGCTAGCATCTCCACCTTAGCTCCACCTCGGATCATCAGGCATTAGATTCTCCTAGAAGCACCAGTTCCTGGTACCAAGAAAGTTGGGGATTGCAAAACAGGAGGATGTGTGTAGGTTTTATGCCAATACTATGCCATTTTATATGAGACTTGAGCATCCTCGGATTTTGGTATTAGAGGGAGGGAGTCCTGGAACGAATTCTCCCCCTCCCCTCCCAGGATACCAAGGGGTAACTGCACATTTGCATAGCCAGGGACAGAGCTATTACTCTAAAAAACACAACGAAAACAACCAAATTAATCCTACGCAAACCCTGACCAACTTCAAATTACTTCTAAATTAGCTTGTTAAATTACTCTAAGTCTCTTTAGCTAAGATGTTCTCCTATTAAGGTAGTGTATTTTAATGTACATGAACATACATTAAAATACACTACCTTAATACATGAGACCCTCTGTGAACACCTGACCATCTTTAGGAAATTTTCTACCCATATTAGGCAAATTAGCAATTCATAATGTCCTCCAAAAAAAAAAGGTTCCAATAACATCTCCCCATTAGGAAGTCATTCAGTATAGGAAGTGAGCATGGGCAGCTGCTTTCAGCATATGATGGTATCACATGGCCCATCACATTTCACTTCTCTTCAAACAAACCCATGAGTAATATATCCGAACCTTCAGTCTAGGTCTTAACGCCTTCCTCATTTTAGGACATATTTTCCCCAAACTCACAGCCTAGAGAAAGAGGTCCCAGGACTTGAGAATAGGAATTACATAAATGCTTAATGTGTCTGTTTCTGGAACAGTCCTGCTGTCTTTGGAGGTCAGAGATGAGCAGCCTAATAAGGTTTAGACTTATTCCAGATAAATATTAGGAATCTGGGATAGGAACTCTTAGCCCATATCTTTGGAATGGTGTCTACTATCAGCTAAACAATTAGGTAAAATTTCAAGTTTCCACAAATAATTCTAAACAGTTTGCCAGAAATGCATCCATGTATCTTTGAATTCATGCATCTATCTACTGTTGTTGTGTAGTACGTTTGGGGGGGGGGCGGTGTGGGCACTTAAGAAGTCTTCTATATCACAAACACCTGTGGATATCTTGTTTGGTATTATATATTTCATAG